TCTTCTACCATCACGGCTCAGAAAACACGCAAATTAATATTTTTCCTGAAGTTGCAGTTGCTCTCCAGAACTATCATGTGATGGAATCCTGACAGAAAGTTCTCCATCACAAGCATATGTGCCTATGCACACACACACTCACAGAGAGACACACACATACACACACACATGCATGTGTGCCAATACCTATGCCTTCACATTGACACAGGAGTACACACCCCCTTCCCACACCCACACCACACACCACTGGGGTTCTGGAGATGAAGTCAGGGGCTGAAAGAGTAGATGGCTTTTCATATGCCACATTGAACTTGCAAGTTCTAAACATGAAAATTCGAACCAGAAATTACACATAGAAAGGAAAAAAAAAAAAAAAACAGATGAAAAGTTCCACACAATCCCTCTCACAGAATTTTTTAATTTCCCCACTTCTGGCCTCCTAAACTGAGAATTCCTCTTCCAGCTCTTACCAGAGTTGACCCTCCATGTGGATAAGCACGGGCCTGCGGGTAGGCTCTGGGGAGTTGTTTTCACACCACCATGGTTCCAAGCCACTCACTTCCAGACCGTGGAAGCAGACAGTTCTGCCTATTGTAAGGATGAATGTAAGTCTGTAGCCAGAACACATGGGGTGCCATCTACTCGACCATTCTTGCTAGGAGAGCTTGGATTTGTCTAGAAATCTGACTGATGCCCACCCAACTTTATTTTTATACTTTTTTCACTAAATAATTGCAAGCTGTTTATAACAAATTCCTCTTGCTCAATGTTTGCATGAAACCATAAGAACAAACAATACAAAGTCTCTCCATAGACATGTTTCACATTACCAAATAATTTAGGGCTCTACAGAGGATGCAAAACATACAAAGCAGTCCCTCCGCTGCTCTTGGGTGGAAAAATACTATTATTAGATCTTTCATATGGTCTTGAAGTGTAATAACTGTGCCCAAAGGGATGCATAGCATCCGAACAAGCCAACTGCCCCCAGGTGAGATGTCTGCACCCCAAGCACAAAGAACATGCCACCACCAATCACTGCCATGGTTTCCTTTGTCTCATCATTCTGGGAAACTGGACATTTCAACCTCCATCTATACCAGTTTCTCCATTCAAGAATGGATAGGCTCTCCATTCAAGAGAGTAGGCCATGGAATCAGTTTGGACTCCCGTGGTTTTCCAGAAACTAGAGTGCCCCAAGGAGGAAAAGGTTTTCTTTCATTGAACATCCTTTATGATGCCACTGGGGTAAGAACTTTGTGTCATTTATCTCACTTAAATAGCTCAACAACTCTTCAAGTTGGATACAATCAGTCCTGTCTTAGAAAGGAGGAAAGTGCTTCAGACAGGTGAGAGTTAGCTTCTGGGAAAGAAAGGGAAGGGCAAGGATTCCAGCCCAGATCTGCCTGACTCCAGAGCCCCCACTCTTCTCCACCAAGAGGACTTCTGACTTCTGTCACAGTCTTTTGCTATCTTTTGCTCCTGGGACAGATACATTGTAGACCCTTAGTAAATACTGATTGCAAGTCAGGGAGTTAAATGTTGGAAATGAAGAGGAAATGTGGGCTAGAACCATGGACCCAGATTTGACTTAAAAATCCTCTTCAACAACAAAAAAATAATATATGCCAGTGAATATTTGTATGCACAAGGAAGGCTTCCAGTTCAAATTTTTTAATAACCTGGTTGGAAAAGAGGGTATTTTTAAATGCCATTTAAAAAGTTGAGTTTTACAATCTAAATCAGATCAGTTCTCTGAGAACTGAGAGCTAGATACCTAAGACTCATTTTTTCCCCAGTGAAAGGCAACATCCAAAAGGTGCCACCTGACTGGTATTGGTCTATTTTTCCTTTACTATAACAAAATAACTGAGGTTGAGTACTTCAAAAGAAAAAGAGGTTTACTCAGCTCACAGTTGTAAAGACCAAAAGTACAAAGAGCATAGCAATGGTTCTGGTGAGTGAGTCCCCTGGATGTATCACCTCATGGTGGTGGCAACACAGTGGCAGAGTGTATGGGACAGAAGAATCACATTGTCAGACAGAAAGCCAAGGGGAGGGTAGGCCAGCCTTGGACCTTTGACTAGGCCCCACCTCTTAAATGTCCTGCCTCTTCTCAATGCCACCATACTGGGGATGGAGGTCCCATTCCCAGCACATGAACCTTGGGAACACACGCAAACCATGTCCAAACCACAGTGCCACTCAACACATTGCCCATTGTTACACATTGTTTTTAAAGAACTGAAATAATTTTGTTTATGTATTTGATTGCTTAACTACTACCTTGCTCTCAAATGTCAACTGCCACTCCAGACCCAGCACCTAGCATGGTGCCAGGCACACTCTCATCCTACCATAGATACTGACAGGATAGAACCCTGTGCTAGCAATAAGAAGTGATGTGTAGGTGTGGAGAAGAGGCACAAACAGAAACAGAAGTACCTGCTACAATTGGGGTTGGAGACCTACCTGTCTCTTCATCCATGGGAATGTCAGTGTCACCCAAAGAGATGAAGCCTGTATCTGTTTAGAAGGAAGCTTAGTAAGTTATCTCCTCTCGTTGGCCATTTGTGTTGCCAATGCAGATTACAAAAAGCAGACAGAGCCCGGTAAGCCTCTCCTAGCTGATCTTCTACTCTCTGTGTCTTCGCAGTGGTCAATAAATGAAAGAAATTATATTTATACTTTAGGAAATAAAGCCCTCTCTGCTCTTGTTTTCAATTAACTCATATATTATGCACCTACTGTGTGTCAGGCACTGTTTTAGGTGCTAGGAGTACAGTACTCAGCAACATCTAAATACTTGTTCTCAAAGTATTTCTGTTCTAGCTACAGGAGAGAGATAACAGAAAATAAAGATAGCACATGGTAGGAAGTAATGAGAAGAAAAACACAAGCAGAGAAAGGAGACCAAGAGGGTTGCTGAGAGAGGAGTGGGACATTTCCATCCAAGGGGTCAGGAAAATCTCCCTTTTCTGTGGACCCCAGAAAGCCCCACACATGAATAGCATGCCAGGTATTTCCAGGGTGCCAATGGGAACCTGGACTGTGTGTAGGCCCGGGGTCCCCTAGTTTGAAGTCGAGGGCACTTGAGGAAATCCCCATGGCAGAAGGCACTGAGGCCCTGGGCTCGGCTCACCAGCAGTGGACAAGTGGAAGGAACAGTGACTCAGTAGGGATCACTCGGCTGTCCTCCACCTAACCCAGTCCCACAGGCCATTGCTGTGTCCTAGGAGAGGAGGCAGCAGCAGTTGAATTGGTGCCATGCAGAGCTCCAAGCTGCAGGGCCAGGCAGCACAGCTCAAGGGGACAGAGCAAAACTACCAGGTGGAAAAAAAGGAGAGTCCCTTCCTGGGTCCCCACTGGAGCTTGAGCGGCTTCAGCTGCAGGGAACACCAGAGAGAAGCAGCACCAGGGGATGAGGATGTCACATGCCCTGTGGCACCTGAAAGACCCCATATCAGATGTCTCCCTGGGTGTCCCCAGCCTAACTGGCCTCAGCAGTTCTGGATGGGCTGAATCCACAGAAGTACTGTGGTGTTCCTTCTACCCAAGCTGAATGTTGTGAGGAGACACGGGCTGCGCTTGCTGACAATCCAAGGCAGGAGCCAAAGCCCAGGGAGAACATGGCCAAGCTTCAAGCTTCTGGCTTTTCTGGAGCCTGGGGAGACAATGCAGCCTGAGAGAGCAAGCACAAAGGTCTCCCCACCAGCAGGCAGCTGGGGTGAAACAGCATGCTGTGCCGATAATGGGGGAAAGATTAAAATCTGCAAATTTGCATATAATCGGTAATAAAATGATTATAAAGCATGCTACAAAAGTAGTAAAAATGTGTAGAGAGAAAAGCTACTATCTACTATGACAAATGGGCCTCCTTTCTACTTGTAGGTCTTGACTGTCAGCCACTAGCACTAGTATTTGAGTTTTCTTTCTTTTTTTTTGGTTTTTCTCCGGTACCGGGAACCGAACTCACGACCTTGCGCTTGCCAGGCAGGCGCTTTGCCGCTGAGCTAAATCCCCAGCCCC